TTCATATCTGAGATTTCCAAAAACCAGCAGTACTTGTACTCTCACACCTGTTTGCTCTCCTAAGTAAAATTGTAATGAAAAGATTAAAAACATTTTTTTTTTTTGCCCTTGTTTTTGGTAGGATCATACGTTACGTGACATTTCAGTTTTCTCTTTTGCTTCTTGGTTTGTGTTGTGGAGTGTGGGGCTGAAGAACCAGACCAGGTCTCTTCTTACAATTCTGTTTTTAAAGAGAGGTTTAGAAAATGTCCAGTTGCTAAGTAAGCAGAATGAAGAGGCGAGTCATAAATTAGGAGATTGGAAGACACGAATATCAAATTTCTGTTGATCACTGCATGGAGTCTATATTAAATTGTTTTTCACACCAGCTATTACCTTTGTCATCTGATGAATTTCGGCCTCACTAAACAAAGTGTTTTTTTTTTTTTAAGATTTATTTTTATTGGAAAGTCAGATTTACAGAGAGAAGGAGAGACAGAAAGAGATCTTCTGTTGGCTGGTTCTCTCCCCCAAGTGACTGAAACAGCTGGAGCTGAACTGATCCAGAGCCAGGAGCCAGGAGCTCCTGGTCCCAAGGCTCTGTGCTGTCCATTTCTGCTTTCTCAGACCACAGACAGGAGCTGGAAGGGAAGTGGAGGAGCCCATATGGGATCCCAGTGCGTGCAAGGTGAGGACTTTAGCCACTAGGCTGCTGCGTTGGGCTCATTCTGTTGGCTTTTTTGAGGCTGTGTTGAAAGTTTCGATAAGCACTACCGTTTCATAGTGTAATCTTGGTGGATTCACTATTTTCTGGTTCTCTGCACAGCTTTCTGAGCGCTGGTGTAGGCAGGGGGTCTCTGTGGAGAGAGTGCCCTGGACAGACAGAGTGCTGGGTTCAAACTCTGAGTGCCCACTCTGGCACTTGACAGGGGCAGTGCATCCACACCCCGGAGCTCCAAGCCTCACATCAGTTAGATGAGTTTTGAGAATGAATGGAGGTACATGTACAGGTTGTGAAACTGTGCATTGTAGTGTGGTAAATATTATTACCGATTGTTGCTGTCACAGTTTTAACCTTTGTGGTTTATTTTTTGAAGAGGCAAGAAAGTCTCTAAGATTTGGTGCAGCCATAAACAGAGCTGAACCATCAAAATGGGGATAAGTTGCTGCTTGGTGTTAGGTTAAAAAATTTTCAGTGCCTGTGAAACTGTGTCTCATGATGTAATTTAATAAAAAAAAATTCTGTTCCTGAGACATTTTTAATCATGCCCTCCAATCCATCCACTGTTACTGAGGCGATTGTCTAATTATGTTGTTTATTCTTAGTGTCACAGCTGTGTTGGAATTCTGTTCCGGGGCAAGAGACAAGGCAAATCAATTTTAGACAGTATCTATATGTATAAGTGTGTTTGAAAGTATTTATTTTGAAGGAGTTACAGAGAGAGGAGAGACAAAGAGCGAGTGAGTGATCGAGTGAACCAGTGAATGCTCTTCTATCCACTGTCTGATTCCCCACGTGGCAATGCAGCCAGTGCTGGTCTTGGTGGAGATGAGGGGTCCCTCGACATGGGTGCAGGGACCCAAACAGTTGGGCCATCTTCTGCTGCTCTTCCCAGGTGGTTAATAGGGAGCAGGATCGGAAGTGGAGCAGCTGGGCAAGAAGCAGTGCTGTACCCTCTTTGCCACAATGCCAGCTCCTTTTAGACATATCAGTGTTACCTGTAGGTAGGTATATTCCCATCACTCAGAAATGGAAACTGGAATGAAAATATTACTCCAGTTCAATTAAAAGAAAGGAAGCAGGAATGGTGATTTTTAATATTATTGGGTTAAAAATTCAGTGTGAGTTTAAAAAAATCTGAGCCAACACAGACCGTGACAGAGAGTAAGCAATCAGTGTCGAATACTCAAGTGTTGAGTGAGTAAATGAATGCGTAAGTATAATGTAAGCGAAGGCATCCCTTTTGTTAGCGGTCTGCAGTGTGGAGTGCGTGGTGGAGGAAGGGACGTGCTCCTTGTGGTCCCTGCATGGCACATGCCATCCTCTCAGATCCGCACAGTGCATTAGAGCCTTGAGAACTCAGGAGTTGTGTTCCAGTGGAAATGCTGCTCTGGAACTAAATGTTGGCTTATTTACATGTTAGTGGTTCACCTGATACACTTACAGCTGTGCTTTGCCCTGTGCTGTTTTATGATAGCACAGGCTGTAGACAGTTGCCACTAACTGATGTGACATAGATGTGACAGTATTTTGACAATTATAAAAGCAAGTTATTAAAAAGTAAGTAAGAATGCTCCTTAACTATTTGCTTTTCTGAGGCCTGGGTTTTCTGGCCTGTGGCCCTCAGCACCAGAGCAGCCACTCCCAGGGTAGATTGCAGGCTCATGTCTCCAGGTATGGGGAACACACAGCTGGGAGCTGCGTGTTTCTTAAGGGTTGATTCTGTGGGGGTTACCCCCAGCTCGCTTGCTCTCCTGTGCTCCCATCTTCTCATTGACAATTGTTGATTCATTCATGTGTTGAAAGTATATTCCAAAACTTACCAGTTAAACTCGTTATTTACGTAAGTAAATATGAAAATAATTTTAAGTAAGGTTTGCTTTTCAGCTTTGGGGCAGTTTTATATGTTGGTAACATGCCTGGGGGAAGCTCCCTTCGCTGTGCTCTGTGACTGCTTCCTGGCTGCCTGTGCTGTGCCTGATGGTCAAGTCCCCGCAGCTCAGGACCTTGGCCACCAGGACGAAGCATCTGGTGGCCTTCATGTTGACGAGACCTTCCCATCTTTATTCTGGAGAAGCATTCCCGGGTCTTGGGGGAGTCTCTAAAGGGACTTTTTAAAGTGATCACATTTGACATCCTAATCAGCCTCCCAGCTTCCTTTTTTAGACCCCTGTTTAAGTAATGTGTTCTCTGGAGGTTCCGCTGCCTGCTTGCCCGCCGGCCTGCCTCCTTGAGGTGCCGTCCAAGCCTGAGTGTAGATGCCTCTGGGCTAGGCATAGTAGAGTCCCTGGAGGCTGGCTTCCTTGATCCGAGCAGGTGTTCTGCAACTGGCAGTTAGACACCGGTGTTGCAACTTTACAGCCTAGAAGCATTTCAGTGATGTCGGGCAGTGATGGACAGTGATGCTGGTCTTGACCTCAAAGTGACACACAGATGTTCGAGTTGGGGGGTTGGGCATAATGGAGAAATTGAGATGTACTGATGTGTGTAGTGAAGTATATTTAACTAAATTCCAATGTTTGTGGTTGCCATGAAATAATTTAAAATGCCATACTGGAATGTTTATGCTTCGTTTTTGTCAGTAGTGTATTTAAAAAAGGGCTTCCCTGTGACTTCCGTTATGGATTCTTGTTTGAACAATTTTGGCACGTTAGTTGCACCAGGTGCTTTGAAAACCCCCAAAGTTGGCCTGGTTGAGAAGGGGAAAGGACAGATGTGCTCTATTTCAGATAATTTGTTTAAAAGCTTCCTCTTTTGTCACTGGCATTCCTTTTTTCTTCATGGCCTTTCGTGCATGAGCCACACTAGAGCAAGAGATTGGTTTTATTGGCAGACTTGGTGACTTGTTGCACTTTCTTACTGGTTTTGTGCACACGTGTTCTGCACTCACGTTGCTGGAGTCTCTTTGGCCGTTTCCCCCAGTTACCCCTGGGTCTCGGGAGTATTTGCCTTGTCGTTTGCTAGGCCACCAGCTCAAGGTAGGGTCAGATAAATGTTTCATGTAGTTAAGTAAAATAATATGTTGCAGTTATTCTTCATATTATCTAGTGTGTTCTGCAGACTTACTGCATTTGACTGTAATTATTTCACTTGGTTCTTTTTCAAGAATTAGATGTGGAGCAATAACCATTTGATTGCCTGAGAAGCTGCATACATAAGTGGCGTACGCCAGTGGCACACACATCCCCCTAGCTAGACTTTCTGTCCACTTAAATCTGTTTCCTCATGGTTTCTTACCTTCAGGGACATGCATCCTGGCAGGTGAAACTTTGAAAAATTTTATCAACTATTGAGAGAATATTCATTGAGGCTTTATATATTTAACTTGCCATTTAACATGCTTGATAGCAAATTGGTCAGCTCATCACACGTCTCCCGTGGCACTGACCTTCATTTGTTTACATTAAGTGCGCTGTGCTCAGTTTGAGGCATGGGACGGGGACATCAGAAGTAATTTATTCACAGCCTCTCTTTGCTCTTTTTGTTTCCTTCGAGGTTTCGCATTTAGTGGATTGCAGTGGTGCAGTCAGTCTATGCAGATACGTCTGTATCACTGGGGCATTTGAGCTGTTTAAGATAGCTGGAAGTAATCTCCCTGTGCTCTTAGATTTTATAATTACTTTGTCCATTTTTTTTAAAATCAAGTCTGTGGCTCACTGCTGTAGTCAGTACCTTGTCTGTGTTGTGGCACAAGGACACTTGAACACTAGTAAGAGTGTACGTAGACAACACAAACCATCCCCGATGGGAGAAACACTGAGGCTTCAGTCTTCTTTCTCAGGTGTAGTAAGAACAGTTTTCTCATTTTTCCAGATCTAATTACTTCTAGTCCATTGTGCCACTCACTTTATAAAAAATGAATTCTGGGCACGGTGTGATGGCCTAGTGGCTAAAGTCCTCACCTTGTACACACCGAGTTCCTGTATGGGTGCTGGTTCATATCCTGGCTGCCCTGCTTCCCATCCAGCTCCCTGTTTGTGGCCTGGGAAAGCAGTCCAGGATGGCCCAAAACCTTGGGACCCTGCACCCATAAGGGAGACGCAGAAGAAGCTCTAGGCTCCTGGCTTTGGATTGGTTCAGCTCTGGCTGTTGTGGCTACTTGGAGAATGAATCAGTGGACGGAAGATCTTCCTCTCGTCTCTCTTCCTCTGTGTATCTGACTTTCCAATAATAAATAAGTACATCTTTTACAAAATGAGTTCTGTTTATATTCTAAAATTTTTTAAAACATTTTTTCGAATTAAAACATTTAAAATGGACAGTATGTGAGTGTGCATGCGCGCATACACACACACACACACACACACACACACAATGCTGTACTGTCCACCTTCATTCCTCCAGTGCCTGCCTGCAGGACTGGGCCAGGCTAGGCCTGAGTGGGAGCCAGGAACTCGTTCCCAGTCACCGATGTGGGTGGCAGGCACCCCCATGTTTGAACCCTCACCACGATCTCTCAGTCTGTTAGCAAGGCTGTGGCATCAGGGCTGGAGCTGGGTACAGAACCCAGGTACTGATGGGAGAAGCATGGGCATCCACCACCCGGTTAAGTGAACGCCATGAGCACCTGCTTTCTTTCTACTTTACATGTTTTGTTTATCGTCACCTTTCTGGGAGAGGGAATGTTGTTGGATTGCACACTTGAGTTGTCTCATTTTTTTGTGTCATAGTTGTCTCCATAGAGAACATCTGACTTACACATTTTTTCTGAAGAGCTTCATATTGCCATTGTAAATTAAGTATTTAAATCGTAAGTTTATGAGGTAAGATAATGAGAGCCTGTTCTAATAAACTACATCTACTTTTTTTGTTAAGATGTATTTATTTGGGCCCGGCGCGATGGCACAGTGCATCATCCCATATGGGCACCGGTTCTAATCCCAGCAGCCCCGCTTCCCTTCCAGCTCCCCGCCAGTGGCCTGGGAAAGCAGTCCAGGACGGCCCAAAGCTTTGGGACCCTGCACCCGCGCGGGAGACTTGGAAGAGGCTGTTGGCTTCGGATCGGCATAGTATCGGCCATTGTGCTCACTTGGGGAGTGAATCATCAGACGGAAGACCTTCCTCTCTGTCTCTCCTCTCTATATATCCGCCTTTCCAATATATCCGCCTTTCCAATAAAAAAATAATAAAAATAAATCTTTTTTAAAAAAAGATGTATTTTTTTATTGGAAAGGCGGATATACAGAGAGGAAGATCTTCCAAGATCTTCCATCCGATGATTCACTCCCCAAGTGAGCGCAATGGCCGATGCTATGTCGATCTGAGGCCAGGGTCCAGGAACTTCTTCCGGGCCTCCCACGTGGGTGCAGGGTCCCAAGGCTTTGGGTCGTCCTCAACTGCTTTCCCAGGCCACAAGCAGGGAGCTGGATGGGAAGTGGAGCAGCCGGGATTAGAACTGGCGCCCATATGGGATCCTGGCATTTTCAAGATGAGGACTTTAGGCGCTAGGCCACTGTGCCGGGCCCAACTTTTTATTTATTTATTTTTTAAGATTTATTTGAAAAGCAGGGAACATCAGAGAGAGAGACAGAAACACAAGGAAAGAGGAAAGGAGGGGATAGGAGTGAAGAGGAGCGAGATGTTCCACCTACTGATCCATTCCCCACAGTGCTGCTGCAGCCAATTCTTGGCCACGCTTGTCTCACATGAGTGGCAGGTTCCCAGGTACTTAGGCCATGCACTTCTGCCTTCCCGTGCGCAGTTAGCAAGGAGCTGGATCAGAAGGATAATAGAACTTGAACCAACACTCAGATATGGGGTGCCAACGTTGTAAGTAGTAGATTAACCCACAGTGCCACAATGGCTTCACATCTACTTATTTTTAAAAATCTTGTTTATCTTTGGAAAAGTAGTGAATCACGTAAGTTGAGTAAGCATGCTGTCTGTCAGGCTCAGTGCTGTCTGTAGTGTCAGGCATCCAGACGGGGCTGGAATATGTCCCCTGTGGAAAAAGGGGCACTACTATCATAGCTGAGCGTAATGCCCTATTGCTTAGCATGACACCTTATATAAATTGTCCTAAAACTGATTATTGTTACACTCTTGCTATTATGTTTTTATCTTATTATCTCAGTACCAGTGAGTGTTAGCTTCAGGTTTTCAGATGAGGAAACCCAATATTGCTAGATTTACTTGCCTGATGGAGACCTGTGTCTGAGTAACTCCAGGGTCTGTGGCTGTCTTGTTTCCTTACATTGTGGCACTTTACCCTTTGAAATTAGCTGATTGGTTTTATTTGAAAGGTAGGATGATGGGGAGAGGGCAGCAGATAAGGAGAGATGTCTTTTACACTCTGCTTTACTTCCTAAATGCTGCTGACTACTAGCGCTGGACCAGGCTGAACTCCATCCAGGGCTTCCACATGGGTGGCAGGGACTCAGGCTCTCTGTCTGCTGCCTCCCAGATGCACCAGCTGAATGAGAAGCAAGTGTCAAGTTGGTTGTGTGTGTTGTGTATGTGTGTGTAATCTCAGTGGAAGATACAGTGGAATTCTTTGTGCCATTTTTGCAGCTTTTCCATAAGTCTGAAATTATTTCAGAATGAGAAGTTAAATAACACATGCTAGTTGTAAAAAAAAAAAAAATTAAGCACTCAGTCTCTAGAAACAATATTCTTGAAAAGGCCCTCAGTTCTACCCCAGGATTTGTCTCTCACATGAGTGGCAGGTTCCACTCATTGTATAATTTTTAAGTGTAGGGTTTTTGCTTTGTTTGAGAAAAGTATATAAATATTTCTTTCCTAACAAAAATAGGATTCCATTGTATGTGTCTGCTTGTTGATCTGGAGAGCCACTTGACTTACTGTAGTGGCAGCTTGGGGTTCCAGGTGCAATGAAAACGGTTCCCCGTGGACTCCTGAGCTCTTACTGTGTTCTGGCACCAGCACACTGCAGCCTGGTCCACCCCTGGTCCACAGGTTTTCTGTCTGTGGGATGGCAGTAATGACCATTCCTGCTTCACAGTGGCACGAATAAGATGAAGGCGTTACTAGGAAAGCATTTGGAGAAGTTGAAGTGTGGTGTGAATGGGAGGTGTGATGAGGTAGAGGATGACTGTCGGTGATGGGTGTGATAACCTGGATTACATTGCAGAGCGGGTCTGTGTGTGTATGTACTGCTGTACACGTTTCCTAGGACTTCTACATTGTGTTTGCTCCTTCATCTTCCCCTTTTCCAGTCTGCATGGATTCTACGTGGTGTCAGGTTTTTTTCTTTAATCTTTTTTAAAAAATTTATTTGAAAGGCAGAGTTAGAAAGATCCTGCACCCACTGGTTCACTCTCCAAATGATTGCAATGGCCAGTACTGGGCCAGGACGAAACCAAAGCACGGAACTTCTAACAGATCTCCCACATGGTTTCAGGGACCAAAGCCCTTGGACCATCCTCTGCTGCTTTCCCAGGCCATTAGGTGGATCACAAGTGGAACAGATGAGACTTGAACTGGTGCACATGTGGGATGCCAGTGTTGTAGCTAGAGGCTTTACTTGCTGTGCCATGACACTGGTACCTGGTATCAAATACTTTTTAAAAATTTATTTATTTTTATTAGTCAGATTTACAGAAAGAAGGGGAGAGAGAAAAAGGTTTGACTGCTGTTTCACTCCCCAAGTGGCCACAACAGCTGGAGCTGAGCTGATCCAAAGCCAGGAACCTGGAACTTCTGGGTCTCTAACACAGGAGCAGGGTCCCAAGGCTTTGGGCTGTCTTTGACTGCTTTCCCAGGCTACAAGCAGGGAGCTGGATGGGGAGTGGAGCAGCTGGGATTAGAACTGGCTTCCATCTGTGATCCCAGTGCATGCAAGATGAGGACTTTAGCCCCTAGGCTACCATACCAGGCCTGTTAAGTACTTTTGAAGCAGAATTTTAACCTTCAAAAACTCCCCACTTGTGTTAGGTTGTGGTCACTCTCTTTAATATTTTTGTGTTTTATATGATCCTTTATGATAGCAACAACTGCAAGCCAGCGTTATGGCTTAGAAGGTTAAGTGGCTGCATGTAACACTGGCATCTCATACAGAGTACATATTCAAATCCTACTTTGCTTTTGATCAGCTTCCTGCTAATGTGCCTGAGAAGGTGGTGGAAGATAACCCAGGTACTTGACCCTGCCTCCTATATAGGCAACCAGGATGAGTTCCTGGCTCCTGGTGTCAGCCTGGCCTGATGTGGCTGTTGCAGCCGTCTTGAGAGTGAACCAGCAGATGGAAGACCTCACTCTTTCCTCACCTCTTTCCTCTTCCTCTGATACTCTGCCTTTGAAATAAATATATCTTGAAATTAAGTTTTTGGGCCCAGCATAATGGCTTAGGAGCTAAATCCTCACCTTGCATCCTCTGGGATCCCATATGGATAATGGTACATGTCCTAGCTGCTCTGCTACCCATCCAGCTCCCTGCCTGTGGCCTGGGAAAGCAGTCAAGGATGGTCCAAAGCCTTGGAACCCTGCACCCACATGTGGGAGACCTGGAAGAAGTTCCTCGCTCCTGGTTTCAGATCGGCTCAGCTGTGTCCGTTGCAGCCACTTGGGGAGTAAACCAGCAAACGGAAGATCTTTCTCTCTGTGTTTCCTTGTTTCTGTAAGTCTGCCTTTCCAATAAAAATAAACAAATCTTTAAAAAAATTGATCTTTAAATAAACTATGCTACAAAATTCTTGAAAGCTTTTTTTTTAAGTGATTTCCATTCTGGGAGTATTTTTTCTTTTGGACATTTTTAGATGTGCAACTGTGTTGTTGCACTGTGTGTGTATAGCAGACTCTAGGTTCCCTTTGCAGTCTGAGAAGGTGTAGAATAGGAAATGGAGTATGGAGTTACTTGAATCTTTCCCCTTTTTTAAAATTTTATACAAGGGTGTTCTTGGCAAATCAGTAGTGGTTCTAGTTGGTCTTTAGCATCAATGGAATATCCCATAGTCCAGTATTTCTCAATTTTATTTTTGTTTTAGAATCTGTGCGCTTTAAAATAAACTAAAAATGAGAAAGAATCTCAAAGAGCTTGTATTTATTTGAGATTTACATTTCAATATATATATATTTTAAATTTTTATGTTCTTAATATTGTTCACATGGTTGAAAGGAATGCACCCCCGTTTGGGTCTTTGATTAGGGTGGGGAGGATCAAGCATGGAGGAAGATGGGTAAGATAAATGTTTCAGTTTTTTTTTTTTTCTTTTTAATGTGTCTGCAGGGAGAAAGGGGATGGGAACTGCTGCATGCTGTCAAACTACATCAGCACCTGGGGCTAGGAGACTGTCATTTCATGATCCCTTAGAGACCCCGATATGGGGAAGAGTGTTCTAAGGGGTACCACCAGAGTGGGGTTGATTGTCCTGAGAAGTTATTGGTTTCATTGCTCCAGGGTTGAGAACATCTTTCCAAGGTCTGCTGGTTGACAGAGTCCACCTCAGTGCATCCACAGACCCAAGAATATGCTGCAGGGCTTGGCCGGGAGAATTGTCTAACCTTTTCTGCTTTCTATCCTTTAATGAGGCAGGCAGTGTGGTATTCCCTGCTGGCCTAGATGAGCTGGCTGTCATGTCCCCTGTTGCATCTGGGCATGCTATAACTGCATAGGCATCAGCAACTGAGTAGGCCTAGACTGGCACATACACCCCCACATCAGCCCACACATCCTGTGATTTTCCCTGTGGCTGAGATCTGAATCCAGCAGCCTGGTTGGGGAATCCACCAAGAAATAGCCTGGGGTAACTACCTTAGATTTGACTTTGTGTGCACTAGCCAGTGCATGTTTAGGCACGGTCTATCATCTTCACGAGCCAACATACATACTGATGGATGCGGCTGCCTGGTCAGTTCTCGCCCCATAACCTCAAGGGAAGTGTCAGGTGCTAGGGCCCAGCCCAGTCAGCCCACTACAGACCTAGTCCTCATGCATACTAGTGGATACGACAGCCTAGTCAGAGAGATCCTCAATAATCCTCACAGACCTCACTCTGCCCCCATTTTTTGCTCCTGCCAGCCTGTGCTGTGGGCTAGCCCATCCTGGGCTATATACCATCTGACTCTTGTTCACGCTCATGGGTGCTGCTGCTTAGCTCAACCTGCCCCGCCACCAGACCCAGCCTTCACAGAGGTCAGCAGGTGCTGCTGCCTTGTCCAGCCTAGTTTGCTCCCAGCCTTTGTTCTTGTGCTCACCAGTGGTGGGTAAAGGTACTCTCTGGAGAGTACCTATCGTTTTCCTGCTTGGCATGCTCCCAACACCAGATATTGTATCTGCCCAAGGATATTGTGGTCAAACCTTATGTGACTCTTACCTAGTCCTGGCACTTGCCATCTGGTGCTGCTACCTAGTCTGGCAGACCCACACCTACTCTGGCTCTCATAGAGACAGAGGGTATGGTAAACTAGCCCAGCCTGACCTGCCCCCAGTCCCAGCTCTCCTGCTCATCCTGCCCCCAGATCTGGTTCTTTGATATTCTGTTGAGTACTGTGATGTAGCCTGATGTGGCCCACTCCCTGCTCCAATACTTGCTGGCCAGTACTGATGTCTAGACCAGACAGGCTTGCTTCTAGCACTAGCTTTTGCATGCTACAGTGGGTCATGGGCAGTACTGTTTAGCCCAGCCCAGCTGGATTGGGGGGTGCCTTGGCCTAACCCAAACATACCTTCCTTCCAGTTTCGCCTCCCCCCCCCCAACGCCCCAAACCACCTGATCTCAACTCCTTTGTCTATGTGTGAATGCAGTTGCCTGGTCCATGGAAGACTCCAGAAATCATTCCTCCCCTGTCAGATGTGTCCTTAGCTGCTCCCACTGCAGTACATCCCCAGACCCTCTTCCCTGGGCAATCTGCAGCAGCTCCCTGCACAGCTTTCCTCCTAAGGGCCAGGGTGGCAAGTCATGGCCTGGCAGACCCTGCCTTTCCCGCATATCTTAAAATAAAAAAGGCCTGGTGTGATGGTTCAAATGGTTAAATTCTCACCTTGCAAGTGCTGGGATTCCTTATAGGTGTTGATTTGTGTCCCTGCTGTTGTACTTCCCCTTTAGCTCCCTGCTTTTGGCCTGGGAAAGCAGTAGAGACCCCAAAAAGCTGGACAGCCTTGGGGCCTTGCATGTACCTGGGAAACTTGGAAGAGTTCTGGCTATTGTAGCCATTTGGGGAGTGAACCAGTAGATGGAGGAACCTTCTCTCTGTCTCTTCTCTCCATAAATCTGATCTGCTGTACAATAAAAATAAAACAAGTCTTGTTTTATTTTTATTAGAAAGTCAGGGTTTTTTTTTTTTTAACATTTATTTATTTTTATTGGAAAGGCAGATAGATATACAGAGAGGAAAAGAAATAGAGGAAGATCTTCTGTCCGATGATTCACTCCTCAAGTGAGCGCAACGACTGGAATTGCGCTGATCCGACGCTGGGAGCCAGGAGCTCTTCCGGGTCTCCACACGGGTGCAGGGTCCCAAGGCTTTGGTCCATCCTCGACTACTTTCCCAGGCGACAAGCAGGGAGCTGGGTGGGAAGTGGTGCCGCCAGGATTAGAACTGGTGCCCATATGGGATCCCAGCATGTGCAAGGTGAGGACTTTAGTCACTAAGCTACTGCACTGGACCCTAGAGCAGTCTTTTCTGAACTTGGTGGAATTGAGTGAAGTTCGTGACAGTGACAAGTTTAAAACATAGACTAGTTGTCCTGTTTTTTTTTAAATATGTTTTGTTCTGGATACCTGAGGCTGGGTAGCTTATGAAGAAGTGATTCCTTATCCTTATGGTCCTAGATGATGAGTCCAAGAGTGTGGCACCAGTTATTCAGTGTCCGGGGAAGGCCTTCCTGCTGCAGAAACTGCCCAAGGTGTGGCTCAGCATGGCCTTCATCCTCTGCTTCCCCACCCTTTGTTTTATGTTGTGTTTTTAATTTGAAAGGAAGAGCTGGATCTCAAGTGGAGCTTCTGGAACGTGAGGCAGTGCTCTGATATGGAGGCCATCTTTTCAGACAGCAGCTTAATCACTGCCTGCCCCAGACAGCTTTGTTAAGTTTCTAGAACTGTGAGACTGAAGTGACTCAGTAGAGTTCAAGATGAGCCCCAAAAGTTCCAAGTGTCTTGATTGGAGAGGCAAGTCAGGAAAGCTGAGGATTTGGCCTGTTTGTGACAAAGATCATGTCTCCCGAGGTCCATGGACTTCCAGACTGTAAAGGCTGGATGTCAAAGAACATCACTGGTGTTAAAGAGGTTGTTTACAAATAAAATATATGACTGACTTCCTGCCTTGAAGTTACAGGGTTGAGAAAGAGATGCTGTCACTAACAGAGATGCTGTCTTTTGCGTTAGTTTTAAATGATTTTTTTTTTTTAAGGCATTCACCAGTCTTGAATTCTCTGGTTAGTGCTGTCTAAATACAGAGATGCAGTGTTGCCACTTAGGCCAGACTCCTGCCAGGCCTGGGGGTGTTTGGGCAGATAGCAGCCTGTGATACTGTTCCTTCTCCACCCAGGGAATGTTAACTCCTAGACAGAGCAGGTGCTCCTGGTGCCCTGTGCAGATCTGTTTAGGAACCAATCACGGAAAAGAGGATTAATCAAGAAGATAAATGCATCTCATACCATTTTTGAAATGCCTTTGAAACATGGTAAAGAGACTGTTGCTCTGTCTTCAAAACCTAGGAACGGTTTTAGACGGAGGAAAAAGCCACCATCTCCAAGTCCAGCAGCTTTGAAATCTAATTTCAAGCTAGACGCTGTGTGACTCAGTTGTTGCTTCTAACAGCGTGCATTACTTGCTGCTGGGTTGGGCCTGGCTTTCATGAGTGAGGAGAGCACTGGTCTCATCGGACCAACAAAACTAGAAATGAAACTCTAAGGTGTGATATGGGATTCAGACTATCCTCTTGTTAAGTTCCCTGTTTTTAAATTTATTTATCTTTATTGGAAAATCAGATATACAGAGAGGAGGAGAGACAGAGAGGAAGATCTTCCGTCCGATGATTCACTCCTCAAGTGACCGCAGTGGCTGGAGCTGAGCTGATTTAAAGCCAGGAGCCAGGAATTTCCTCCAGGTCTTCCACGCGGGTGCAGGGTCCCAAGGCTTTGAGCCATCCTTGGCTCCCAGGTCACAAGCAGGGAAGTGGGGGGACTGGGATTCAAACTGGCGCCCATATGGGATCTTGGTGCCTTCAAGGCAAGGAATTTAGACACTAGGCTACCGTGTTGGTCCCAAGTTCCCTGGTTTTATAGCAAACCTCTTCTCTCTCTCCGTCTCTCTCTCTCTCTGCCTTGCTCTCTTTAAAAGATTCATTTGCTGAAAGCATATATACAGAAAGAAAGATATCTTCCATCCACTGGTTCATTCCTGAAATGTCCAAAAGGGCCATGGCTGAGCCAGGCCAAAGTCAGGAGGGAAGACATCATAGTCTCCCACATGGGTACAGGGGTCCAGGCACTTGGGCTGTCCTCAACTGCTTTCCCAGGCCCCAAGCAGGGAGCTGAATGGGAAGTGGGGGTGCTAGGCCACCGCGCTGGGCCCTCACTGAAATACATGTAAAACTCTTGGCTTTTTTGTTAGGCAATGGCTCTAGTCAAAATCAAAGTAAGTTTTTGGCATTTTTCATCCACATAGTTCAGGAAGCATAAGTTTATTCATTTGAGATGCAGAGACAGGTCTAGATAGCTTTCATCTGCTGGTTTGTCCCAAATGCCTGCCATCCAGGAGTGCTGAGTGCAACCCAGGTACCCTGTGAGGCTGACACAGACTGAACTTGAGCCAACATTGTCTTGCCTCCCATGATGTGTGTGGGCACAAGGTGAACTGGAAACGAATCAAAACTGGATCCTAGGCACCTGAATGTGTGCGTCCCAAGTCTTGTTTTAATGGCTGCACCAAACTCCCTCCATTCTAAGAAATCCATATTTAGTAAAGTTTACCTCTAAAATTGGTGGGATTAGGCATACAGAAAGTAAAAGCTGATCAATTTGTTAGAATATTAAAGGCATCTCATGAACCTACAATTTATACCTGGATCTTTTTTCTGATTATGTCCTTACCTAGTCTCGAACCATTGTGGTAGTTAGATGTGTGTCCCAAGTGTCACAGTGTTTTGATTTAACATAAACTGGAGGCAGCTGAACACTCTGACGCCTCAGCTGGAGTAGGTTTGGGTGCTTGCAGATTTTTTTCTTGAATGTGTTTTTTTATGTGCTTGTAGTGGATGGCATCTGCTTGTGAAGCGTGTTTCTATTTGGGGGAAGTCATTTGGTTTTCATTTGGTTAATGCAGATGAATATCACAGAGGCTCAAGATTAGAAAGGGGGAAAGGAAGGAATTCGTCAGGCACGTAGAGATGTGCATGAAGAATTTCAAGGAGGCTTGGAACAGATGTAGAAGGGAGGGGTAGCAGCCCATCTGAGGCCTTTAGACTGTGACATTCTCTTCTAATGAAGAACAGCTTGAAAGCCGTAATTCTGAGAGTGTTGCAGTATTTTGAAGTCAGACACTTAGTTTTTAATTTTGTTTTTAAAAACAGTGGTAAGATTTTGATTTTTTATTCTCCCAATCTTAAATGGAATTAAACACTTTTGGGCATCATCTTAGCTTGCTAAGATCGCTCTCAGAATAAACACCAGGGCATTGAAAATTCAGGATATATCTGCCTTATGGCATATGAAGTTATTTTTTTGTCTCTTAGATAAAATCAGTGGATTTTCTATTTATTAGTTCTGCATAAATGACCTCCAGTTAATTCTTTATGTTTATATTTTGCAGTACCTTTTTATACCTGAAATTCCTGGTAGTGTGGGCGCTGGTCCTTCTGGCCGATTTTGTCCTGGAGTTCAGATTTGAGTACCTGTGGCCCTTCTGGCTCTTCATCAGAAGCGTCTATGACTCCTTCAGATACCAGGGGCTGGTATGTTTACTAACGTTGCTCTCCACGTGTGGGGCGTTTCATTTTCCTCCTAAGAACATCTTCAGTGGCTGAGAGTGAACTGCTTAAAGGTGACTGTGTTGGGATGAGCTAATAATATCTGCTAACTGAAACTGGTCTCTAATGCCGTTTTGTCTAAACCCACTACCAAGTCATCACAGCTCCCCCTCTCTGTTTTCATTCCAGGGGAGGGGCTGGGTAGAGGACTTTCCTAGGGTAAGGAGCAGTGGAAGAAGCCATACATGCCCATTCCTATTCTGATCTGCTTCTAGAAACCTCTGCCTCTGTGCTAGTGATTGGGTTAGACCTAGACTGGTAGTTCTCGATTTTTAAAATTTTACTTTCTTTTTTTTTGTCTCAGGACCTCTCTATATACTTAAACATCATTGGGAACTCCAAAGAGCTTTTGGTAGTATGGATTGCATATACCCATATTTACTGTTTTAGAAGTTAAAACAGAAAACTCAAAAGCATACTTACAAATTCATTTAAAATAACAGTAACCTATCTCATTAATATACCTTGTATTTTTAAATGAAAAATGACTTCAAAATAAATAGTACAGCCCTATTTTTGCAGATCTCTTGACTGTCTTGGTTCAGTAGACAGTTTGATTCTCATATCTCCTTTTGAATTCTATCATATTATAGTAGCTCATGTAAATTCTAGAGAATTCTGTCCTTTTTATGAGTGAATAAGGACAAATGAGTCAGATAACATCCTAATTTACTATAAAGACCTTTTGACCTCAAATACCCACTGAGAGAAGTTCAGAGAACTCCACCCTATTCCCAGAAATTCCCTGGCTATATTTTGAGAATTGCTGAGTTAGAGTAAAGACACAGGCCTGGGCTTGTTCTCTTAGTTTGTGTGTGTGTGTTTAAATACTTGTTCATTTTTAGTGGAAGGGCAGATTTATAGAGAAGGAAAGAGAGAAAGATCCTTCATTTGCTGGTTCACTCCTCAAATGGCTGCAACAGCCAGAGAGAGAGCTGAGCTGATCTGAATCCAGGAGCCTGGAGTTTCCTCCGAGCCTCCCATAAACCAGCATTCATGTGGGATCCTGGCACTCGCAAAGTGAGGATGTTGCCACTAGGCCATTACCCTGGGCCCGATGTATTAGCTCAGTTGTGTTACACAGCCACGTGGTAGAGCTGTTACTCCCTCACCTAGGCTTGGTGCTTTTGAAAATGTATGCCTTTACTTTTCTAATCCATGCTTTAAATGGTTGCTTTTAAATGTTTAAAATTTTCTTGTTAACTTTCTCTGTAATTATCATTTAGATTCAATGAGTTTGTCTGATGTACTTTTAGTAACCTGTGTTTGGAAATAATTCAGTTCTGAGGTGTGTTTTTAATTTTGTGTTGTTTTTCCCTCTAGGCCTTCTCAGTATTTTTTGTTTGTGTAGCGTTCACGTCAAATATAATATGTCTGCTGTTCATCCCCATACAGTGGCTCTTTTTTGCTGCTAGCACCTATGTGTGGGTTCAGTATGTATGGCATACAGGTAAGTCATCATCATCTTTTTTTTTTAAGTTGTATTTTTATTGTAAAAATTAACAGAAAAAGTCTTCCAGTCTTCCATCTGCTGGTTCATTCTGTTAAGTGGCCACAGTATCCAGAGCTGGGCTGGTCTGAACCTGGAAGCTAGGAACTTCTTCTGGGTCTCCCACATGGCTGCAGGGGCCTAGCTTTGAACCATCCTTTACTGTTTTCCCAGGCCATAAGCAGAATACTGGATCAGAACCAGTGTCCATAAGGAATGCTGGTTCTGCATGTGGAAAATAAGTCCATTATGCCACCATGCCGTCCCCCAGGGAAGTTTTGTTTTAAGATTTATTTATTTGGGCCCGGCACGATGGCACAGTGGTTAAGGTCCTCGCCTTGCACGCCCGGGATCCCATATGGGTGCCGGTTCTATCCCGGCAGTCCCGCTTCCCTTCCAGCTCCTTGCCGGTGGCCTGGGAAAGCAGTCGAGGACGGCCCAAAGCTTTGGGACCCTGCACCCCTGTGGGAGACCCGGAAGAGGCTCCTGGCTTCGGATTGGCATAGTATTGGCCGTTGCGCTCACTTGGGGAGTGAATCATCGGACGGAAGATCTTCCTCTCTGTCTCTCCTCTCTGTATATCTGCCTTTCCAATAAAAAAATAATAAAAATAAATCTTTAAAAAAAAAAGATTTATTTATTTTTATTGGAAAATCGGACAGAGAGGAAGATCTTCAGTTCGATGATTCACCCTCCCCCCTGCCCCAAGAAGCTGCAACAGCTAGAGCTGAGCTGATCCAAAGCCAGGAGCCAGGAGCTTCCTCCTGGTCTCCCCTGTGGGTTCAGGATCCCAAGGCTTTGGGGCATCCCTGCTGCATTCCCAGGCCACAAGCAGGAAGCTGGGTGGGAAGTGGAGCTGCTGGGATTAGAACCAGCATCCTATTGGGGTCCTGGCACATGCAAGGTGAGGACTTTAGCCGCTGAGCTACTGCGCCCCTCTTCCCCACAATTCCTAAGGCTTTCTTAGACAGAATAACATTTTAGATTCAAGTTTTTAAGGTATGATTTATTTGAATAAATTATATAGAGTTGAGTTTAGCATATACTTTAAAACTTAGAAGCAAATGAGAGATGCTGATCTTATGTCTGCTGATTCACTCCCCAAATTTGTACAACAGCCGGTCTAGTCCAGACTGAATGAACTCAGTCCGGATCCCCCATGTGGGTGCAGGCACTTCCCTGCTTGGCCTGATCCCTGCATGGTGTGCCTTAGCAAGAAACAGAGTCAGGAGCAAAGCCTGGCGTTGAACCCAGGCACTCTGATGTATGTAGGCATCTCAAGGGGCCTGAACTGCTAGGCCAGATACATAACCCTAAGGTAGACATTTTAAACTTACCTTTTCTTAGTAGATTATCTACCTTTACAAGTATGTTTTATCTTTTTGTTCATTATTTGCATCAAAGGTTTAAGCTTTTAGGATTTGGCATTTTGGTTGTAGGTATTTCAATTACCAACTCTGATTGCATAGATACTTTGAAAAAAAGTTGAAATGATTTCAGTCTGGATTTACATCAGGATAGCCATGTGCCAAGTAAGGTAACGTTCATGGAATTTGAGCGTAAGGTGTGTCTGAGGCCACTTAAGGAACGCCTCCATTGGGTGCAGGAATCCCACACTGGCTCTCTGGCACATGCCAGTTTGGCTTCAGGTTGAAAAATCTGAAGTGGAAAAAGCTTTTTTTCCTGGCACTCTTCCATTTAGGGGCAACTGCAGTATGAAGGTTTTGCTCATATTGAGCTCAAATGTTCTTACTTAATAATACTTAAAAAAAATGATTTATTAAAAGAAAGGCAGTGACAGAGAGAGAGGGTTCTCCCATCCTCTGGTTCGCTCCCCAAATGGTTGCAGCTGCCGGCTGGGAACCAAAACGCCACCCGAGTCTTCTGTAAATGACTGGGACGCAGGTCCTTGTGCCATCTTGCACTGCTGATGCCTCTTCCCATCCCTTACACTTTTCATTCCGGATGTCCTAAGATGGATTTGCTGATTTCCTAAGATGCTATAAAAAGGCTTTTCTCAGAAAAACTTCCTGAAATGCACCCATCTTTTCCTTAAAATTTTAGGAGTCTGCAAACTTTTCCAAGCATGACCTTGAATTCACACAGTGGAGGCCCTCTGAGTACAGTCTCCTTTTCATGTTAGCATTTGTTTTGAAGTGTGAAGACTGTTTTCTTCTTAAGTCTTATTTTCACAAAAAAATCTTTGGTTTGGCAGGTTTCCTCCTTCTGTAGTATTGTGAGCACTTTGACCATTCTGTATTGCTTTTTTTTTCCTTTCCTTTTTTTTTTAAAGGATTTATTTATTTTTATTTGAAAGGCAGATTTAGAGAGAGTAGAGACAGAGAGATCTTCCATCTACTGGTTCAACTCCCCAAGTGGCCTCTGTGGCTGGAGCTGAGTTGATCTGAAGCCAGGAATGTCTTCTGGGCCTCCCATGTGGATGCAGGTTCTCTAAACTTTGGACCATAGTCTACTGTTTTCCCAGGACACAAAGAGGGAGCTGGATGAGAAGTGGAGCAGCTGGGGCACAGACTGGCACTCTTATGGGTTGCCAGTGCTTACAGTACAGAGGATTTGCCATTTGGGTCATTGTGCTGACCCGAATTTTCAGATAGTTCTAACTTCCTTCTGAAAGCTACACTTACATTATTTCAAGTAAGGTAAGATGAGCTGTTTGGCAGCAGCCTGCTATGAAAACCTAACTGGTATGCAGTGGTATTTGAAGGTAGCTCTGAGTCACATTTGTCTGCAAAGCTGCGTGAAACCTGACTTGTAGTCCCAGCAGTGCCTTGTAGGATGCGGGCCTCTGATGGAGAGTTAATATTGGCCCATTTAGAAGACACATAGTTGAACTTAGTTATTCCAAGTTTCCATTGTGAACTTCCCACATGGGTGGTAGGGGGCCCAGGCATTTGAGCCATATTCTGCTGCTATCCCAAGTGTATTGCCAGGTTGCTGGATTGGAAGGAAAGCAACTGGGATTCAAACCAGCCTTTTTTTTTAAAAGATTTATTTATTTTTATTGGAAAGGCAGATATACAGAGGGGAGGAGAGACTGAGCGGAAGATCTTCCGTTTAATGGTTCACTCCCCAAGTGACTGCAATGGCTCGCCAACCCGAAGCCAGGAGTCAGGAGTGTCTTCCGGGTCTCCCATGCAGGTGCAGGGTACCAAGACTTTGGGCTGTCCTCAACTGCTTTCCCAGGCCACAGGCAGGGAGCTGGATGGCAAGTGGAGCCACTGGGATTAGAACCAGTGCCCATATGGGGTTCTGGTGTGTTCAAGGCGAGGACTTGAACCCTATGTTATTGCGGTTGGCCCTCAAACCAGCATTGGTAGTTTAACATGTTACACCACAATACCAGCCCCTACTATAAAGAATCTTTAGTTTTTTTTCCTCTTATTAAAGTAATTTTCTTTGCATCGTTTCTTAGCTGTGTTTTCTTGTCCTTGGCTTCAGTTCTGAGTTGCTATTTAATGCTTATCACAGTCTCCTGGTCTGAATTTTCTCTCTTGTATGAAGTTGAAGTGATCTTGTAACGTAGGAGGGAGCCCTTTAGTTGGTCTGTTCGGACTCAGATGAATTGTGGTGATTCCCCAATGTCCTTCAGTAATGTATTTGTAACTGTTTATAGACCTGTGCAGTAGTTTGGTGGCTGACCCACAGGACAGTGAGACAGATAGTGTCATAAAAATTACACTGACCTCTCTCACCATACTAGGTTTAGAAATGCATGCTTTTAGCTCAATTGTGAGCGTTTCTTTTAAAGAGAAAGCGGCAGACTACCCATCTACTGGTTCTTTACATGTCTGAGATAGCTCCTGGCTGAGAGCAAAATGGAGAGCTTGGGCCCTCATCCAGGTTTTCCATGTGGATAACAGGGACCTAACTACCCCCAGGGGAGTGTTTTCAGCAAACTTGAATTGGGACCAGAGGTAGAATATGAACTAACACATTTGATTAAGAGATGCCAGGGGTCTTAATCACTGTGCCAAACATGATGTGTTTTAATTTGGGGTGACTAGTATTTAGGTGAACAAAAGAAATGAAGAAGCAACTCTGTTCTTATTGGGCCCAACAAATATGAATACTCTTTATGTAACTTAGAGAGTTTTTGTTTTTAGATTATTAGAACTTAAAATAATTTCTTAAGAATATTATAGGGCCCGGCGCGGTGACGCAGTGGTTAAGGTCCTCGCCTTGCACGCCCGGGATCCCATATGGGCGCCGGTTCTAATCCCGGCAGCCCTGCTTCCCTTCCAGCTCCCTGCCTGTGGCCCGGGAAAGCAGTCGAGGATGGCCCAAGGCTTTGGGACCCTGCACCTGTGTGGGAGACCCGGAAGAGGCTCCTGGCTTCGGACTGGCATAGTATCGGCCATTGCGCTCACTTGGGGAGTGAATCATCAGACGGAAGATCTTCCTCTCTGTCTCTCCTCTCTGTATATCTGCCTTTCCAATAAAAAATAATAAAAATAAATCTAAAAAAAAAAAGAATATGATAAGTGTCCTCAGCACCATGGGGTCACTGGAGTTCACAGTTCACAGTAATACAAGAGAGATGCTGGAAGAGAGATGCTTGAGGGCTCCAGACAAAGGCAGAATAGGAACGCTGATTGCTTCATTTTATTAGTTTATATTGTATACATGTGTTGAAATACAGTGCCCCATAAAAATGCTCAAGTATTACGTGCTAAGCAAAACTTTTACAATAAACTTGACAACTTACAGCAGTTGATTGAAGGTGGACATAGTGAGAAACTATATTGTCTTAACTCAGACGTTAGAAATATCAAATTTGTACAATAATGTTACTTTTACTAGTTTTTCTTATTTGGAAAATATAGTTATTTTCATAAAATACGTTGCGTTAATACATAACTTGTGTGATGTTAACAGTTGAAAATGGAGTAAGGGGCCGACACTCGGTGTAGCTGACGCTGCCTGGGCTTCCTGCATTCTGTTTCTGAGTGGCTCTGCTTCTGACCCAGCTTCCTGCTGTTGTGCACTCGAGGAGGCAGCAGGGATTGCTCAAGGCCTCGGAGCCTTCCACTCCTTGGAAAGATCCAGATGAAGTTTTTGGATCTTGGGTTTGATCTGGCCCAGTGCTGATTGTAGCAGGCATTTGGGGAAAAGAATTGGTGGATGGAAGATCTTTGTCTCTCTCTGTTTTTTAAATACATAGAATTAAAAATGAGTAAGAAGTTTTAGTAAAAAGACCTATGATACAGTGCATTAAGTTGCCACCTATAGTGCTGGCAGCCCACACAGGCAGGTCAGGGTTCTGGCTGCTCTGCTCTGTGTGCCAGAGAAGGTAACTGCTGATGGTCTGAGTGCCTGGGCACCTGCCACCCTGTGAGAAGCCAGGATGGAGTCCCTGGGTCTTGGCTTTGGCCTAGTCCTGGCCTGACTGCCACAAGCAGCTTTCCATCTCTCTCTATCTGTTTCTCCTCCTGTTTCTGTTTCTCTTGCCTTTCAAATAAGTAAACGAGTCTCTTACAAAAGAAGAATATTGGGAATGGTTGATGGTATTTACGTGGCCACAGAGGAATAATACTACATTAACTTTTTCATTTCTATTAATAAAGAGAAAAAAATATACAAAATTGAATGTACCATGTAAAACTTTTGCTTGTTCAAAAATGTCTTGTAATTTTATTCATTTGATATAGAACTACAGATATTTTATCTTTTTTTCTATGATATGTATTTATCATAACCTTATAAGTTAATGTGGAGGGTAGGGTTAGAAATGTTTTAATTTATTTTGAAAATACATTCTTCTATGGATTGCAGTTTTTCTTTCTGCTTTGTGTAAAATTCCTGTTGTTGGTGTGTTCAGTCCATGAGAATGGATAAAATCACTGGCATCCTTGAGAGTTGCAGTGTCCTAGGAGACTAGGGGTCTCCTTACAGCAGGTTCACCACTGTATGAACTTGGAAGCTATTTATTTATAACTCCAACAAAAATTTGCTCTTCAACAAAAAAGGAAGTTGGACTAAATTGAACTTTCGTGTTTCCAGATTCTATAGTTTTTGTTTGTTTGTTTGTTTGTTCCATCTCAGACATCCATAGGAAATGGGCTTGCAGTCACTGATTGTGCCCCACCCATATCTGTGCAGCCTGTATTCATAAATACCCTGCTGTTGTCACGGGCTCACATAGACAAATGTTGGCTTCAGATTCTGTTTCTCGAGATCAGCGAAAAGTTTCCCATTATTTACATCTTACTTTCTCTGTTGCAAGTTACGTTTTTCCTCTCTTGACAATTGTTTTTAATTACCAAAGGAATATGATCTGTGGTTAAAAATTTTTTAATAGTAATTAGGTGTCAGAAAAACATTTCATTGTCATCTAAAACTCATTCTTAAAATTTAAATTTTTAAAGATAGATTTTTATTTGAAAGGCAGATTTTATGGAGAGAAGGTGAGGCAAAGAGAGGTCTTGCATCACCGGTTTACTCCCAAAAGGGCCAAACAGCCAGAGCTCAGCCAATCCGAAGCCAGGAGTCAGGAGCTAGAAGCCTCTTCCAGGTCTCCCATGCATGTGCAGGGGCCCAAGGACTTGGGCCATTCTCCGCTCTTTCCCAGGCTACAAGCAGGGAGCTGTATCAGAAGTGGCATAGCCAGGACATGAACTGGCACCCATTTGGGGTGCTGATGCCTTCAGATAGAGGATTAGTGTGCCACTTCACTGTATTGGCTCCTAAAAATTTACTTTTTAAAGATTTATTTTATTTTTATTGGAAAGTCAGATATACAGAGAGGAGGAGAAACAGAGAGAAAGATCTTCCAGAATCTACTTTTTAGATATATTTTCCCATAACGTTATAAATCTTCTACTCTCTAGATGAGTTGCAACATTTTTCATTATATAGATCTGTAATAATTTAAAAGTTCCTTGTTTCTTGACTACTTAAGTGAATTACGATGTTTTGTCACTACAAATAATGCTATAATGAGTATACCTATACATTTATCTCAGAACTTTTGTATATTTTCGTAGGATAGATTTCTAAGAGTTTCTGAGTTAACAGTATAAGTATTTAAGATTAATTGTACTGCCAAGTTGCCCCCTAAGGATATTTCCCTTCTTTATGTTATTCAAAGATAAAAATGAAATTTGCCCCATATTTTTTCTGCACTATTTTTATCTTTTAAATTTCCGACCTAATGGATTGAAAAAATAAAATCTAATTATCTTTTATTTTTTTTACTCAGTAGTAAATTTGAACAGATTTTTCATGTTTTTAAAATAATTTATTTTATGGCTTACAGGTGTTTTTCTCTAGTTTTCATTGACTTATAGGAGTTCTTTGTATGTTATAACTACGAATCCTTTGTTTCACATACATTATAAATATTTTGTGACAGAATGATTGTTTTTTTCCAGTGATGCAGTGTAATTTACTGTCATACAAAAGCTTTCAGTTTGGGTCAGATTGCGTTTTACTTCACTCGAGTAGGAAGTCTTAATAGAACTTACTGTAGTTGACTCAGCCTCCCAGCAGCCCATCTGTTCTGTTGGTTAATATGTCATTGATGCTTGTCTCTCTTCTGCTTTGCCACAGAAAGGGGAGTGTGTTTGCCTACAGTATCCCTTTGGATTCTCTTTGTTTATATTGAAGCAGCAATTAGATTTAAAGATCTCAAAAATTTTCATGTTGACCTTTGTCGTCCATTTGCTGCTCACTGGTAAGTCTGTATTTTCTTAATTTATCATTCATTTCAATGTAGGGTGGTAAATTCAACTTGGAGGTTTTACATGGTCCAAAGAGCAACAAAGCATGTCATAAAGGGCAGGCGCTCACTTCTCAGGCAAGTGAGTGTGCGAAGAGACGCAGAGTGCCCGATGACTTTACGCCTCACTGCCCCAACCTGGCGGGGCTGAGCAACAGGAAATGAGGTGATGCATGTAAAGCTTCGAGCTTAATGCCACGCAGATAGGTCTGTGATAAATGTTAGCTGTCTTTATTATAGTCAGATAATAATTCCAAAATGTCTTGATAAAATGTGTTGCAATTTCACCATAAAAGAACATAGAATTGCCATATTTTAAAAACACCAATTTTCGCTGATATTTATGGTGAAAAATTGGAATTAAATACTGTTTCCAATAGTTTTAGTCTCTTTACAAACAGGTTAATTAAATTAACCTAGTCAATAAAACTTACCGCTTCAAATTTGTAGAAAGATCACGTTCAGACTAATTGCTAATTGATGTCTTTTTTAAAAGGTTTATTTCAAAGGCAGAGTGATAGAGATCTTCCTGCTGCTAGTTCATTTTCCAGATGTCCACATGAGAAGCAACAGTCCAAGTACTTGAGCCATTATTTGCTTCTTGCCAGGGTGTCCATCTGCAGGACGCCAGAGAAGTCGTGGCGGACAGAACTCAGACCTAGACACTCTGACACAGGAAGCCTCGGCCTGAGGGTTGGGCCGAGCACACTGACCCCTTGAGAGTCCTTTAACATGTAGAATGTGTCCTTGTGGCCACCTGTCGTTATCTTGAGCACCCAGATGCCAATTTCTGAGGTCAGCAGAACAGGTCAGCGTTTCTTCAGACATCGTCCTCAGGGTCTGACAAGCTCTCTTGTGACTCCTTGACTCAGGTTGAAGAGCAGCAAGATCAGACAGGAAGTGCTTTCTTACGGCCTCGTAGTCACCTTCCCTGGGGGTTAGTTCTGTGTGCCAACTGCCTGATTTCCACAGCAGATGTTGCATTTACTTATGTGGTTCCTGAATACTGTCCTCAGCTAGAGTTAATTTTAATAATTTATGTTTTGATTTTAAGTCCTAGGGTTCCTCCTGTGCTTAATGCATGAGTTGTATGTTTTGAACTTGCATTGACTGGCTGGACTGTCTTCTTTCTAGTATTGGGTACCCCGTGGTGACTTTGGGCTTTGGCTTCAAAAGTTATGTCAGCTACAAAATGAGATTAAGGAAGCAAAAGGAAGTGCAGAAAGAGAACGAATTTTACATGCAGCTTCTCCAACAAGCCCTCCCTCCAGAGCAACAAATGCTGCAGAAGCAGGAGAAGGAGGCCGAGGAAGGTAGGTCTTTACCCTAAAGCTGTGGTTCAGTTTGAGCCTCAGTTATTTTGCCTCTCAGCAGAGTTTTAATTTTTTTCTGAGAAATGACTAGAATTTTAGATTTTCCCTATTTTCTGATATTCTGCCTCAGGGGCATTGTTTTGTTTGTTGAAACATAGAGTAGGGGTGGAATTTTTTACCTACTCTCTGGAGACCATGTACTTTGAAACATTTTTATTATTTTTAGATCTTTTTTGTTTACTACAAACACTTTAAAATATTCACTGCCAACAAGAAAATAGCAACTATGTGAATTTGTGGTTGAAACCAGCTGGGAAGCTGGAGGTGTGCGCAATCAGCTTTCTCACCGGAAGCCTTGGGGACAGGCTGCCGCAGTGGGGTCCTGGTGCACTCCCTGAGATCTTTCTGACAGCACCAGTCTTGAGTGTGTAACCCTCAGTTGTAGAGAATCCTTTGGTTTGGGAGTAGGGAATTCGGGGCCTTGCTTTTAGTGTGATAATATGTGTCAATATCTTTTTCTTTAATATGGCACACACACAAAAAATCTCTTTTCCACTAAACTTTAACAAATTATAATGTGTGGACCAGATACAGAAAATTCTTTGCAAGTGGTCTGGTAAAAGCAATAGATTTTTTTATTACCCCAATGCTGGAGTCAAGAAAAATGATAGATGTTGTGTATCCCCAGATCGCACCGCTTTGTTTCATTGAGTCCTTTACTCTGCAGGAAAGGTATTAGCAGTTTATTTAACCAAGGCCTCATAGGAGACTGATTGGCTTGTACTCGCTCATGCCTGTGACAACAAGTTTCATTTGATTGAAGTGTGACTGTTAATTATAAAATCCTGACCGTAATTTCAAGCCCAGGCGTGCAATGGCTTGTTCTTTGTAGATGATAGTGGTTTTTCTATATGTGCAGCTTCTCAGCTGTATTTGGATTTGCTTTGTGGAGTCAGCATCATAAGCTCTGGATTATTGCCCCTAAGTGAGTTTGCAAATTAGTGTTTGAATTTCTAAGCATAGATAATACAGGTCATTGCTTCAGTCTATTCTGTGTTTTTAAAAAACTAAATATCCTGGTGTGGGCTTTTTTTTGTTTGTTGGTTTGTTTTTGGTATTGTAGCAGCCAAAGGGTTACCTGATATGGACTCCTCAATCCTCATACACCACAACGGAGGTATCCCAGCCAACAAAAAGCTCTCCACAACTTTGCCAGAGATAGAGTACCGAGAAAAAGGGAAAGAAAAGGACAAGGATGCCAAAAAACACAACCTTGGGATAAACAACAACAATATTCTACAGCCTGTAGACTCTAAAATACAAGAAATCGAGTATATGGAAAATCATATCAATAGTAAAAGATTAAATAACGATCTTGTGGGAAGTACAGAAAATCTCTTGAAAGAGGACTCATGCACTGCTTCCTCAAAAAACTACAAAAATGCCAGTGGAGTTGTGAACTCCTCACCTCGAAGTCACAGCGCCACAAATGGGAGTATTCCTTCCTCGTCCAGTAAAAACGAGAAGAAGCAGAAATGTACCAGCAAGAGCCCAAGTACACACAAGGACTTAATGGAAAACTGTATTCCTAATAACCAGCTAAGCAAACCAGATGCCCTGGTAAGGTAAGTGTGTGTGTACTGTCTCCTTACCAACACTTTCCAATAAATTGGACATGCTCTGAAAAGCAAACACACCCATATGGGCCGGCAGGAATTGTCTGAAAGCAAATCCTGTGACTAGTGACAGTTGGCTGTTTGTGTGACGTGAGCTTGTTGGTCACCTGAGTAATTGTCTCAAAGCCTTGACTTCAGCCGTTTGCAGTGTTCCGAATAGGAGATAAAGGTGATTGCTTTCCGCATTTGACAGATCTGTATGTAACCTGATTATTCTAGTTGTTACTGAAAGGTACTTCCCTAGTCCTGGTCCAATGTTTGCATAGACAAAGTTATTTTGGCAGGAACATGGAAAGAAGCATTTATGCCCTGTTCATACACATCTCTTGATTTGTCAGACAGCTACAGCTGGGGAGAAGCTTTGAGAAAAGCTGTTACAAAACGTTGTGTGTTTTGACTGTACATAGAATGTAATTTATCCCTAGATAACTCTGGAAAATTTAGGTGTGAAAAATAATGTCTTTCTCAACATTCTGTAAACAACACAATATTAGGCATGAATTTTAACCAGACATATTTCTGTTCTTATCTTTAATTAAAAGAATAGTATCATTGTATTATATTGCTGGGCCCAGACCTAACAGCCTTATTTTATATGACTGACATTAGGCAAACACAAGTGCTTTCCTTTTACCTTGTATCTTTGCTATAGAAACTGAGGTCTGAGCTGGGACTTTACTTTGTGTGTGTGACTCAGGAGAGCAGTTGTCATCCCTGTAGAGAGTTATCTTCTGTTCCTCTTGGCTTGCTTAAAGGCCAAAGATATGTTATTCTAGAAAGAGAAGAGTCCAGCATTGTAAACTGGATGAAGTAGATGTTCAGTTTCTTTTTGTTTTCTGATTGACAGCTAGATGGGAGAAATCTTTCTGGCTTCCTCCATTGCTGTGGGCTTGAGAGGGTTCCTAGCCCCTGTTCTTTTGGATGCATGCTGCTGCTGCTGCTGGACTGGCCTCCACATCTGGTTGTGGCATTCTGCCCGCCATGTCCTCCTCCGAATGCCCATGGGACAAAGACCCATTAGTTGGCCCCATATTTCAGAATGAGGCCTCTGTCATAAGCTATTTAATATCGTTTCTGCTACACCATATTGATAATAGCAGTGAATCCATAAGTTTTCCTCCACTGGTTGTTGCAGAGCGAGCAGTCCAGGCTCAGTCTTGAGACCCCATCATTCTTGGGCCGCAGATGAGACGTGGATTGATTTTTACTACCTGTTCTGCCATTAGTAGAGAAGTTCTAAGACCAGAGAGCTTAATGTCCCGTGAAGGAGGGTTGATGATGTGGTTTTATGCCTGGCCCCTTTCCTTCTCCAGGGGACATGCTTCTTCCTGTGGCCACTGATGATACTAATAACTGCCTTCACCAGTTGGGTTCCAGCATGGAATTTTGTTTTAGGAAACTGTATCTTGTCAAATAAATGAAAGAAAGTATTGTATTTAACTAGCTTCGTAAGCTTCGTTAGGATTACTTCTAACTTTTAAAGTGTTAGGAAAAAGAAGGGGATGATCTAAATATCCAAAAATGGGGGACATTTAAATAAATTATGACCTACTCATTTGATGGACTTTAAATATACACATTACAAAATCATTCTTTTGAGCCATAATAAAGCATATGGGAAAGTACTCATGACAATATTTCATGAAGAAAGCAAAAACAATTAAAATCTTTTTTTTTAAAATATACACAGAGAAGAGATTTTCAGGGTGGGCACTGCCCAGGATGTGATGCTCTAGAATGGCTGGAATCGGGTCCTGCCTCCTCTCTCCAACCAGCTTTGTGCTAATACACTTCCCAGAAGAGAGGAGATGATGGCCAGGCACTTGGGTTCCTGCTGCTTGCTTGGGAGACCCAGCTGGAGTCATGGGCTTCCGGCTTTGGCCTAGCTCATCCTGTGTGTTGCAGACATTTGGGAAATAAACCAGCGGATGAAAAACCTTTTGTCCCTCTGAAATTCTGCATTGTAAATAAATAAATATGTCTATGTGAGCTTTATAGTGAAAAGAACAAAATGTTAACAACATTTGTTTCTCCTTGTTAAGTCTTGGGCATTTATGTTCTTTTTACTTGCCAGCATTTTCACATTTTTCAATTCTGAAAAATGGGAGAGTGTAAAAGGAAAGTTTTACTTGAGCAAATTATCCATAGTGGCTGTAGTAAGCCTTATCTCACTTCCTCTTACCTTTGTGTGTCTCCCCTATTTCCTCTTGTTTGACTTCATGTGTGTGTTGATGAGCAGTAATAAGATTTGAGCTGATCCCAGCCGGACATGATTAATTTGTTAGCTGGAGACTGGGGTTTTTATCTTCAGATGGAGAAGGCCATGTCCTGTGGGTCACATCATAGGATGTGGGTGCACGCAGTTGGCAGGTGTGCATGTACCTTGTATGCACACAGCCAGAGTTGTACACATTCAGACCAGCTGATAACTTCTGTGAGTCTGTGTTAGCTCACAGCATTGATGATCATTTTTGAAATGTTTAAGAAAAAGTCCAGAGTCAGTATCGTGTTACTCACCAGCAGTATCACATGTGCTTTACGACTCTGCCCTCTCCACTGTGTGCTTAAGGACTGCTTTTTGAGGAACCAGTTCAGTGACTTTTGGGCAAAAATTTCCTTACTACACTACTGTCTTCTAGTTTGGTGTGATTGCCCAAGTCAGATGTGGTGTCTGCTGCCTGTGCTCTTTGCTCATGGACATTTCCCTGGTGTGCCACCTGCCAAAGGTTAGCAGACAGCAGTGCGCAGGCCAGAACTGGCCCGCTGCCTATGCCTCCAAAAATAAATGTTATGGGAACGTAGCCATTTCGTTTCCATACTGCCAGGGGTCACTTTTGTCCCTTAGTGGCAGTTGCACGACTGCCACAGAAGCTGTAAGGTCTGCAAAGCAGAACACATCATTAACTGATCATTACAGAAAAGAGTATATGGGACCCTATTTATAGTTTTTACTTGTTTTGAGAATCTTTTCCTCTTATAGATTAGGAACTCTCCAGGCTGGTAATGACAGAAGCTGGCTCTCTATAATTCTGTGTAAAAAAGAAAAGTAATGGGTAAATATTGAATACAAGAATGACAAGGGAGTAAGGAACTGAATGAATGGAGAAGATCTGGGCTACCAGGTTAGTATAGGGCAGAAGGTGCTGAATGGATGTGGGGGATGTGGGGAACTTGTTGCCTGTAGGATTCTGCTCTGGTAGTGGGAACGCTTGCCAAAGCCAGGCTGAAGCTCTCTTTCAGCTTGAGAAATATGTATTTTGTAAAATGGCCCTATGTCTTTTGTCTAATTTCTGAATTTTTAAAAAAGATTCATTTATTTTTATTACAAAGTCAGATATACAGAGAAGAGGAGAGACAGAGAGGAAGATCTTTCGTCTGATAATTCACTCCCCAAGTGACTGCAAAGGCCGGTGCTGCACTGATCTGAAGCCAGGTACCAGGAACTTTTTTCCAGGTCTCCCACGTGGGTGCAGGGTCCCAAAGCATTGGGCCGTCCTCGACTACTTTCCGGGCCACAGGCAGGGAGCTGTATGGGAAGTGGAGCTGTCGGGATTAGAACCGGCACCCATATGGGATCCCGGCGCGTGCAAGGCGAGGACTTTAGGCGCTAGGCCACGCCGCCGGGCCCTAATTTCTGAATTTTTTAAAAAAGATTTATTTATTTTTATTGGTAAGTCAGATATACAGAGAGAAGAAGAGACAGAGAGGAAAATCTTCCATCCGATGATTCATTCCCCAAGTAACCACAATGGCCGGTGCTGTGCTGATACGAAGCCAGGAGCCAGGAGCTCTTCTGGGTCTCCCACGCAGATGCAGGGTCCCAAGACCTTGGGCCGTCCTTGACTGCTTTCCTAGGCCACAAGCAGGGAGCTGGATGGGAAGTGGGCTGCTGGGATTAGAACCGGTGCCCATGTGGGATCTCGGTGCATTCAAGGTAAGGACTTTAGCCGCTAGGCCATGCTGCCGGGCCCTAATTTCTGAATTTTTATACCCAAGATAGTATATATGTAGTAGCCTGGGCTGGCCTCAGGTAACTGAGTAGCTACAATTTAATTAGTTCTTAATTCTATCATTCAGGAAATCCTAGTTAAAACAGTCATTTATTTTAACTAAATGACTAGAACCAGAAGGATCAAATTTTTTTGTATTAGTGATGTTTAGGAATATTTTAAGTATGAAAGGATTCTTAAATATGTAGGCAAGGAGGGGCCTGGCGCAGTAGCATAATGGCTGGGGTCCTCGCCTTGCACGCTTCAGGATCCCATATGGGTGCCTGTTCATGTTCTGGAGGCCCTGCTTCCCATCCAGCTCCCTGCTTGTGGCCTGGGAAAGTAGTTGCGGACTGCCCAAAGCCTTGGGACCCTGCACCCGCATGGGAGACCTGGAAGAGGCTTTGGGCTCCTGGCTTTGCATCAGCTCAGCTCCAGTTTGCTGTAGCCACTTGGGGAGTGCATCAGAAGATGGAAGATCTTCCTCTCTGTCTCTTTTCTCTGTATATCTGACTTTCCAAAAAGTTTAGACAAAGAAAAGGAAAAATAGTTGCAGCAGTGTGACAAATCACTGTTTAAAATGTGGTATGTTTTCTTCTTACCGGGTAATTTTATATAGTTGTGGCTGTGGTGGCTTTTTTAAAAAACTAAGTTTTATGTTTTAGAGCAGTTTTTAAAAAAAGATTTATTTATTCTTATTGGAAAGGCAGGTGTACAGAGAGGAGTAGAGACAGAGGAAGATCTTCTGTCCGATGATTTACTCCCCAATTGACCGCGATGGCCGGAGCCGTATGTAGCCTTTTCAGACTGCCTTCTTTCACTTAGGAGCATGTATTTAAGGTTCCTACATGTCTTTTTATGAATTAATAGGAGATTTCTCTTTAGCCTTGAATACCTTCCATTCTCTGGATGCACCATAGTTTATCTATCTGCCTGCTGAAGGACATTTAAGTTGCTTGA